GGATGGAGCATCCCACAGGGGGGTCCCCAGTATGCTTGGTGATAGACCCAGAAGTGGACCAGAAACATTTCCAGTCTGCTGCGAGTGCACAGGGGACCCCCCTGCTGGCTCGGCAATTGGTGCCTCCTGGGTCTGGGGGAGCACCCGGGGTACCCCCTGCGGCTGATCACTGAGCTGAAGTCTGAGCGAGTTGAAGTCTGCTTTTCCAAAGTCCAGAACCCTTACTCTGCTGCTCCCCAACCTTCCTTTCCGCAAGAACCACAGGAACCCTTCTACCAGACCACACCGATACATACTCTTTTAAGGTTACTCTCTCCATGCAAACCTTCTAAATTCTCTCAGCCACATAAACTTATTCAAGGACTCCATGACATTGAGATTGATAAGCACTGTAGGACTGATATAACCTACACACTTGATGTTGTCAACCACCACAAAGTGGTGTGCAGCAACATGGTGGACCCACCCCTCCTCTACAGACAACGTGTCAGCAACCCACCTCAATGTGCAAATACCCAGAAGGTCCAAGGCTGTGTGTCATTTTTTTGCCTACTCAAAAACAACTGAGGCAGAGAAAGGAAAGGGGCATGCAGCACCGGTAAAATAAACAAAGTCCATACAAAGAAGATCATCCAGGGAAAAAAAAGAATACAGTATCAGCAGGGACATTTATAGTTGGTGAATGGTCTGCATTTCCATGGGAACCAGAGGATAGCAGTGGAGGGCACCAATGCATGGCAGGGCCCACTGCCAGAGCAGAAAACTCAACCGACCAGGACAGGAGGGTGACATGCAACTTGAAGGAGAAATAGATGTTCTTATATATGCATTATAATGTAAAAGCCAAATGGAAATCACCGTAGTTTAGTCATCATTACACTGAGGACATTCTTGTTTTCATTTCCCATCAGAACATCAGTTCATAGCCCCCACCTTCCCAAATAAAAAGAGACAGACAGCTGCTACAGACTAGGGGGAAAAAATTTCAAGTTTGCATTATAAAGAGCTCTTGTACATAATGTAAGCAGTTATATATATAAAAATCTAGAGCTACTACATAATAAGGCAACATTTGAGAAAATTATTCTGGCACACATCCAGGAGGGGCCAGCAGGGAACTGCATGCTCAGGGGCAACCAGCACGGGTTCATCAGCGGCAGGTCCTGTCAGACCAACCTGGTGGCCTTTTACGACCAGGTCACTAAATCATTGGATGCAGGGGTGGCAGTGGATATAGTTTTCCTAGACTTCAGGAAGGCTTTTGACACTGTCTCTCACCCCATTCTCATTAGGAAGCTGGGGGACTGTGG